AAATGTCCCATCCCAGAAGCAACTCTGGGTAGCTCCTCATAACCTGTGCTTTAGCAAGTCATCCAGAGAATTCTGGTGCAAGGTATAATTTGAGATCCTTTGCCTGCACTAGACCATACCAACAGAACTTCCCAATAGAACAAATTGTAGACTGGGATCTTGGTAGGAAAGGAAGGAGACTGAGTTATGCAGGTACAGGCTGCCTCACAGCCACCAGTCAGATGGTCTGAGCTTCCCATCTGCAGCTGCATAAAGACCAAGCCCTTCAGAAATCTACATTATCCCCCTAGAAAAAAGACAGTAGAGGAATAGTTTCCACACCCACTGGGGAGCTGAGGCACCAAAGTGGTTAATCCTGTTGACCTTTCCCCCAAACCCTGTTGAGATTGGCCTCATATCATGAGCACTCAAAGCCAGTTAAACTAAAGAAGAGCAAATGAAATGTTAGTTCCTTTATTCTTAAAAGACCATAAAATAAGAGAAAAAGCAATTGATGCATTTTTCTCTCTTATCAGTGAAGCCAGTTTTTGCCCCCAAATGCCACCCACCCTGCACAAGCATTTGGCTTTCTTACAAAATTTGTCACTGTCCACAATGCTGTAAATGGTCCATCCCTGCAGCTACAAATACAACTTCAAGTATTACATCTTTCCCTTTGATTTGGAAACAGATTTGGCTCATCTGTCATAACCATAAACTGCCCACACACAATGAAGTATTTCAATAAATATTAACTGATGCAAGCTGCTCCATTTCATCAGAATGGGTTACTTAATGAAGCCTGTCATGAAACAAAGCAACTGAGGAAAATATGGTACAAAACAAAAAACTTTGCTTTGCACAAAATGAGCTGAATGTCTTTGGAAACTCTTTGAATGGTTAGGAACTAGACCAATGAAATGAACTTGAACAGTAAAACTTAAATGTTTTTCTGGTGTCTGAGTTGGCAACCATCTTAACATTGCTTATTAATAAAAATTCACCCTGAACAACTTAATGCTTCTCTTTAATTGCTTTCTAGTAGAATTTTACACACAGATTTTTTTTTATTGTTTTAGAAATAAAATGATGCTTATTTCTTCCAGAAGAATGGTAGAATCTTTAGGATTTTTAATTATTAAGTATATATGGGGGTTCATTTAACTGGAAAGTGGGCATATTCCAAAGATGTCCTAGTCATGCTGAGAAATCATTATAGAAATTTTGTCTTTGATTGTTTCAATCACCACACAGTTACATGGAGGTTTTTTCAATGCAAGGGCCTTAACAAGCTCATGGGTGAATAGATTCCCCTGACTTATTTGGGAAAATAAATACTTAGGATCCAAAGCCCAAGCTAAATTCTGGGATATGGAATAAGTGAGATGCACAACAGGTCAGACCAGTTGCATAGCAAACACATATTCTCCTGGTGTACTCTCTTGTCGTCTTCCTCAGCTGCCCTCTAGTTTGTCCTTCTCGCGACCCGTTTAGCATGGTCCGAGGATTAAAGTTAGCAGATTAATGAGAATTTACTGTGCCATCAGAGAATTTGAATTTTTCTGTTCTTCATCTTTACCAATGAATTCCTCAATTCTCATCATCTAATTTCTAGTTTCTTTCACTCATAATAGACCTACACTCCTTCACAATTTCCAAGATATACATGCAGCATTTAAAATCATGTTTACCCTTGCTTTAACCACATTGTTTTATTCTCCAGCTTCTCAGAGTATACTCCTACAGTGAGAATTACAGAATTTTGCCCCATTATTCCAGTAAAAATGTAGTGCTGCAGTCAAACCACTTGCACATTTTGTCTTAGTCTACTAGTCTGCCACTCTGAATATTCTGAGCTCCTTAAAAATCATCCAGCATGATGCAGTCCACAAAGTCAATGCTCAATTAATAATCATGCACTATATAACTAGAAGCCCTGGTACATATCATCTAGTTGATTCTGTGTCACAGTTGAGAAAACTGAGGCCTAGAGGAGTTGGTGTATTAATGATTGCACAATTCAATAACTGGAGCTAGAGTCCATATCATTTGACTTTTGGTACAGGACCTTTTCTATGTAAACATACTGCCTCAAATATAAGCCTCTGACAAATGCCTCAAAACATTGCATACCTGGCTTCGCTGGACTTGCTCAATTTGCCCCAGCTTTGACTATGCCCTGAATCAACGTCTTGCTTAGGCAAATACATTTCAGAAATCCAGTCATTCATTTTTCCATTACCCAACAAATATCAATTTATTATTGTTTAATTGTGGTGTACTGAAAGCTGAATATATATAAAAATGCAACATATGCAGTCTCTGTTCTCAGGGAACTTTTTGTTTATAGGGAGCACGGGCAAGTTTAGTAAATAAATACATAATCACAGAGTTAAGTGATAGGATGAGAGGCAGAGATGGGGAACTGGGATGGTCTAAAAGAACTGAGGGATGGCATTTAAGCCAGGAACAAAGGGATCTGAAGAGAATCCATTTGCATTCCTTTCTCTCTTGGTTACAAACCTTGGTCCAAGCTATCAATTTGGATAAAACAATTTCTAATCTACACTATATCCTGCTTCTCACTGAATGTGTAGCTTAAGATATACTTTTTCAAATAAAAGCTCCTATGTAAGTCTATTATTATTGGTAGAGTTTCCCTCCAAGTTCAAATTCTCAGCAGCTGCCTACACCCATCCCCATAACTGCTTAATTGTTAAGAATACATCTCCATAGGTTATATTATTATTTATCAAACTACCTAGGATAAGGAGCCTATTATTTAGTACTTATTCCAAGCACCTGCTAAAGAATTGAGTAGTCCAGCATTTTTCTATGTAGAATTTCCAGGAGTCTCAGCCCTACATGTCACTGTTTTATTTTTTGCACCATGGTCATGACTTACTAACAAATACTCCTGTGCCATGATAAAACCAATGAATATCACAAATATTCATAAGTTGTTTTACTGCCAGAATAATAACTTTCCTTTATTCAGTTGTCAAACATTCACTGACTAAACGATAAGCAAAAAGCTAGCCATTGTAGAAACATGAAGAAGACTAAGGCCCAGGACATATCTAATCAGTGAAAACAAACACATAAACCTAATTGGAATTCAACATTCATCGTGATGACTACTAACTGAGATTTGTTGAGATGCCACAAAAGCAACTGTATCTGAACAGAGCAAAGCAGGACAGAGAAGGCTTTGACGGGTATTGAAAGCTAAAAGATGAGCAAAAGGACAATGAGAATGTAACTGTGTGTCATGCAGTGCTAAATACCATGTGAAACTAGTGAAGTGGGCATGACTTCTGGCTTCTAGAAACTTCACATCAAAGGGGAAAACAATGCAGGTTCAAGATTCAAGATATAAGAAATGTGGCCATTTTAAACAAAGATGAACAATATACCATGAGAAGAGGTCACAGGTAAGAAGAAACTTATGAGAGGCTTTTTCCTGGTGGAGAATTGACAGAGCATTTCAGGTGGTCACTGTGGCCTTTCTGCAAGAATAAGACTTACTTGTTTGCTAAATTATACCACTAATGTAAGTTTAGTTTTCTTACTGTGCCTACAATGTATCTCTGTGTATACCTCTAAAAATTGAGTGACTGCTTAATAATAAAAAAAAAGCTAATATAAGATATTAGAATACACCTTCACAGGAAAATGGCTTTACTTTAAAGGCATTTAAACATGTTTTTAGTATAGGGTAAAAAGGAACTCAATATTTATGAGTTTATGTGTAAGTGGTCAATATTTTCAAAATTAAGCAATAATATTCTTTTGCTTTTGCTTTGATTTTCCATGAACTTTTTTGTCGTTTGTGTTGCTGTTACTTGATGGGGAAGCAAGCCCAGGGCCCTGGCAGTGACGGTGCCAGCCCTAACAACCAGGCAACAGAGATGTGCTTTTTAAGCCTTTCAGAATTGTTCTCTTCAACTATCCTAACTTCACTTCTTCATACCTGAAAGTAGACGTTCAGTTTGACCAATGTATTGTTTCCAAAACAGAAGATAATCCCAGGAAGTGATTATAATTGCAGAAGGAGTCTTGTGGGGAAAAAAAATCAGTGGAGAGTTTTTGTCAAAGAGAAATATCTCAGTTTGTATAATTAGTTGAAATTTGGGGAGTATTAAAGTTATCCCCAAGGTACATCATATGAAGTACACACACACAGACACACACACACACACACACACACACAAATTCATTAATACATTTAGAAGATAAATGTGGGAGCTTAGGGAATAAATAATATTGCCTGAAAATAATGAAATTCTCAATAACAATAAAATTTAATAATGTGGAGTATGTTTGCTCAGCACATTCAGCTATCAGAACCACCACTGTCAGCCAGAAAGTGATCAGCATGACTGCTAATAAGAAAACCTTTAGGACCTCAAACTGGAAATAGAGCGCATGCTGTTTCCTCAGTTACTCAGAGGGAGAGAACTCTCCTTGTTGCAGAGAACTCTCAAAGACTTCGTTGTTTGAATCTCTAGTGGCCTGCAAATTAGAAGCAAAACATAGAGCAAATTGGAGAAAGCTATGGGTAAAAGTACTAAGAGGTGGGAACTAACATCCTGATAGAAAAAGAGAAAGAAAATTATATAAAGACAGATAAATATCCCAAAATTGCAATTATCTGAGACTTAATATACCTTTTTAGTTCCTGAGGTAGCTAAAACACAACCCAGCCCATTGTACATAATCATTATACTCTATTGGCTGAAATATGTGTTGTGTTTTTTAGATAGCTTTCAAATGATTTCTTATTTTTAATATTGAAAAGGCTGACTCATTTTGAGAAAGAGATGCATAGGAAAAATACCTAATTTTTCATTGAAAACTGCCAGATGAAGCAAAGATGACAACGATACTCCATCAATACAGACTGCAACCACTCCTGCTGGCCCGACCTGCATGTGCGTGTGCATGATGGCTTTCTTGGTGTCCTTGGGAACAGTTCTCTGCTATTCTGTTTCTTTACCTGTCTCTTTCTCTCTTTCTAGCCGGAGACCACCCCCATCACCAACTCGTCCCACTATAATCCGTCCACTAGAATCCTCTCTGTTAGACTAAGTGAAGTGTCTGGCCTGGCAATTAATCACTAACGAATTATGCGAAAGCAACATAGTTGATAACTGTTGCAGTAAATCATGAGTAGTCGCATGTGTGGACATCAGTAGGCAAGTAACCAGTTTTACTAATGCATTCGTCACTCATCTTCGTTGCTCATGGTATGTCTATTTTGGGAGTTCGGCTCTTGAAAGCTTCTTACCAAGGTAGGTTTGCAGAGCTGCCCTATCCTTTGGGTACCATTTGCCTAGCCTGGCATATATTTGAAATTGCTTTGGATAACTTTTTCCAAGTTGCCTACCAGGGAGCTCATTAAATATAATTCTTAACAGATATGAGGTACTAGTGAGCTTAGAACTAAGCCATACATATTTCCTTTCCCATTCTGTTTAGGATGGCAGAAATTCTCTTGTCTATTATTACTGCTATCACCTATTCTATAATTACATATTTAACTACTCTTTCCTTCTTCTTTATTTCACAAGACTGCTAGAAAATGATTTTTAAAAATTGGAATTCCTTGAGAATAAGGCTTTTCCAGAAGTCCAAGGTAGTTTGCAAAGAAAAAATCTGCACTGTTTTCTCTAGCAAGCTGCTCCTCATGCCAGTATGTTTTGCTTCATGCTACAAGCATAGGCTACAATGAAATCAAAACTTGTTTGAGGTGATATGTCAAGATTGAATTAGTTTCAGGTTTCTAGGAAGAAGCAAAACATTCCATCTCTAAAAATGTCTGGAGAAATGTAATGTCTTTATTTACTTGCAAAGTCACCTCCTTGTAAGTGACATTGAAGACCAACCTGGAAAATGTTTAATTTTTCCAGCTGATCTAATTTTTGGTATGACTAACTATACTTTAGTACTAACTCCAATTTATTATTATTGATTATTATTTTGGTTGGAGCAAAGATAATTCTTTCCATTCTAATTTGCAATTCCCTTATATAGTTGCATGTAAGTAATTATATAAGAACCCTTTAAAAAGAGGTAGTGTGAGTATCCATTCTAAGTTCTGCCCAACCTCAATACTGGGGAATGAATCCAGGGCCTTGCACATCCCACACAAGTGATCTACCACGGAGCAATACCCCCAAGTCAACATTTAAGCTTTCTTAAGAAAGCTTGAGGCTTACTACGATATAATCACATAGAAAGAACAATACCTGGGCTAGAAAGAAAAGTCAGTCAGAGATACCATGATCTAAGGCAGCCCTCTCACTTTTACAGATATACTACTGCAGAGTCCCTACCTAGCTCATTCCAGAAAATGGTACTGAAACATTGAGATCTGAAGCAAACTTGCAATTTGTAAGACTTACAAAAGCAGCTTAGCTTGGAACTTAATGGTTCAGCCTTGAGCCTGGGTTTTGAACTACCGAGGACCAAATGATTAACATGTAGGAAACAGTCAGAAGCCAATTGGAATTCGGTCTGCTAACTGTTCCCAGACAGCAGAGCAAGTATTCACTGAATCATGGTGTCTCATGACATTACTTCATATTCTACAGAAGTAAATCAAGTTTTACTAACTGCAATGTCTCCCTTTGAAAGCAACAAACGTGATTTGTATGTTAATTTAACTTTAATTTCCTGTGCAGTTTATACCCAAGACAGATACTCATAAAGTACGAAGTAAAAACTTTTAACCATTATTAAAAGGAGAATTTGCCATGTTCTAAAGGGTTACAGCTACCCCACTTATAATTGGAAGAAAATAGAGAATACAAGATTTACGAAAAGGACATGCCAAGTTTCCAATTTATAAGTGATTATAGAAAGAACATTTCTACTCTGATGTCCTCTTATATCTTATTTTTTCTCTTTGAAAAAACACTCTTTGCAAATGGAATCGTGGACAAAATATAAAGTACATTTCAACAATAAATAAACAGAAAGTCCTACGTCTACAAACAGTAAAACAATCTGCAGTGAGTCTTTTCATAAAACTCCCTCTTTTTAGGATTCCCTTTGCTTCTTCCTTTGAATTCTCTAAAACAGGCAGCTAACATTCTATATTCCAGGGTTTGGCTTTGTGCTAAATGTGGTTTTGCATTTTGCTGTATTTCAAAAATTTCCTTCTGTTGGAAGAAAATATTGTGGACAACCACTGGTGTGTTCTCAGATCAGCATAAAGCATGTAAAAAAAAGTTGGAGACTTTTTTTCCAAGTTTCTTTCCACCGTTCTTAGGCAGTCATAAACAATGGCATTTGTCATCGTTGGCTTTTAATTTTAGATTATAGTTCCACAGATGCACTGTTCCAATTGTCTCCCCTTGATGGTACATTTTTATTCCATTTTTTTAAGTTTTGTCTAATAGAACTGACTCTCCCTGAAATTTCACCAGTCATATTTGAGAATATTTTCAATTTGCTTTAGTACTGTGTTCTAGGGGTTTGCATTCTGCTAAAGGGAGATGCCAATGTGAATGAAGTCTGAAGCGCTGGAATGTATGTGTACAGTGTGAGGTTCAGCATGCACATCAGGTCTTAGGATGGGACTGTAGCTTAGAGCTTTCTGTTTCCCATTCCATTTCTAATTGTTCTGATGTTGTCAACGCAATAGCTATAGCTCCATCTTGTCTAGCATACTGAAAAAAAATGTTTTTAGGATTGGAAAAACTAAATGTATATGTTTATTTTATAAGTAAATCTAACTTTATTGTCACATGCTAAATCTTGCATGCATATGGACTAATTGGAATAACCATTTACTCAACTGTGGACAGATTATTGAAATAGTTGATTTAGAACAGGCATATTGCATTTCCAGAATTCATCTACCAAGAATATCCTTCTGAGTATTGCTTTTAGCTGTGTTTTATAACATAGAAGAGCAGTAGGGTCTGTTTATTAGCAAATTTGCTATAGTTCAGACACAAATTCGTCCCAAAACATAATGAAACTGGTTTCTGCTATATAACTATAAACCTTCTGAATTTAGGATAAAAGTTAGCCACATAGATTAATTTTGAGATTTTTTAATATACACTGTAGCCATAATTCTCCAATATTAAATGGGACTTAATACCAGTGTGTGATAAATGTTGATGCTTTCTGTGTACAAACACATTTTCTATGCATGTGTCTCTGTGTATACAGTATATACATAGTAAATTTGTTCCTGTAAGTACATGTATTTTGTTTCTCTTTAAGTAAGTTTAGAAGCACTTGTTAAAATGCCACAAGCATGAGTTTGATTGTATGTGCATTGTGTGTGTATGTGTGTATATATATATATATATATATATGTATGTATAAGTACGGGTGTAAATATCTATGTAAACACGTGCTTAGTATGTGTGAGTATGAATAATTTTTAAACTGTTAATCCAAAAGATATCTTTGGAAGATCTGTCATAACACATAATAACAGTGGTTCATGTCTCATAACATACATGAAACATACAAAATTTACTAAACCTGATCATATTCATTCTGAGAGGCACAAAGCTTATAATAACCATGACAAGGTAACATCCACAGACATTAGTATCTAAATCCACAGCACTTCTATCTAAGATGGAATTACCTTTGACAGTATAGTTTAATAAGATCTGGAAACCTTCCTTTAAGATCTCCAGGTAGAATTACAAGTTATTTTTAGATGCTAACTGAATGTTGAAAAGCTAAGCTGATCTATATAATCATTTTTTCTTTATATGAAATGTAAAAAAAAAAAAAATAGAAGTATTCACCCACAGAAAAAGTAATGGATTTTTCTGAGTAAAATTGCTTTTTAAATGCAGTAGAGAAGTTACTTAATTCCTTGGAGGTAGGTTATCAACTTTTTCAAGTAAACACTTTTCATTTGGCAAATGGTATAATTATTTGAAATTGACAGCAATCCCCTTAGAATTAAGAATAAAGGTGAAACAGTAGGTCTCTGAACAGTTGAACTCAGTGTAAAAATGACCACGGATGAGACTCAGGCCCTGAGTTTTGTCCCATTTCACCGAGAGGACAACGATCTGTGTGCTCAGAGCTCAATGTGAACGAAGGCACATGATTTTGGAGAAATAGTGGATAGCTCACCACATCACTGAATCCTTTCTAAAGATCTCTAGTGTGTCTTCTAGATACTCTTAGTAATTCTGTCTAGTTGGTATGTTTAAAAGTGTGTGGTGCTCTGTATGTGAAACTTTAATAATATTTTTGAAATACATGTAGTATATGCATTACCCTTTGTGTGTGTATGTGTGTGCATGTGTGTAAATGCATATATGTAAGAATGTGTATGAGAGAGAGAAAGAGAGGAAACTCAAGGAAGAGTCTCCTGTTTAAGACTGTCCATGCTGGTATACTGGTGAGGCTCTTCACCTCTTTGGTGGAGGGTTTCACAGGCGGCTCAGCATTAATTTCTTTTTAATCTCTACCCTTCGATTCTTTAAACTTTGCTTGTGATGTAATTTTTAAATTATGGCAAAAATGACTCTGCCTTCTTGCATTGACCTCTGTCGATCTGTTTTACAGATTTCTCCTGACCAGAGATCTTACCACTATTAATTTGATTTGTTTTATTTCATATGGACAGCCTTTGTTTTGCTTCTTGTCTGTATTCCTGTTTTCTGCCTTTTCCGAGTCAAATTCTTCTTTCACTTTTTCTATGAAGTAGTTCACAAAAGTGAAACCTTGTGTTCTCTGTTGATTCCTTAATTAATGTGAGCCAGCATACTTCCCACTGTCTTCTTGGCACTTTTCAGGATTTCTTACTGACTGCTGATTTATGGATTCTGTGAATGGAATTTTTGAAGCAAATTCCTAGAGCCTGTATCATTCTTGAAGGTCACATGTACCTATTGTGAAAATGTGAAGCTGTATTTCTGAACCTGAAATAAATTATAACATTTGAAGGACCCTCCCTTTCCTCATTCTTGTATATGAGTTATGTCTATGCATTTTAGTAATACCTGGGGCTATAAAAAATTTATAGCTCTTATGTTTGACTTGGCCTATCGAAATGGAAAATGGTAACATTTTGCTTTTCTGTCATTAATTAGGGGAAGGAGAAAAAAGATTTTTAAGGCAGCAAATTGGATAAATCAAAGACAGGACAATGGGCATGATTTTTCCCCTATTTGAAATAATTGTTGGAATAGACTGAAGGATACAAACCTTAGATAGCTAGAGGGTATGAGATGTTTACCATTGAAAAATTAAGTATGTGTCAAAAAATCTGGGAAGTAGAAAGAGGAATGATGTTCTGCCCAAATGTTAGGTCAACAGAAGGCAGATCTTTCAGTAAATAATTGAACTCCTGTGCTGGGGATTTAGGTCAGTGGCAGTGCACCTTGCAAGCCCAAGGTCCTGAGTTCAATCCACAGTACAGAAAAAAAAAAAAAATTGAGCTCCTCTCCCAACAGTTAGCCTCTATTACTTACTTCAGTGGCTTTAGGCTGGGATAAGTGAATTAAGTGTGCTTATGCTAGTACAGATTGTCACCAACAAAATGGTGGGTGATAGAACCATGTAAAAGGGCAATGATACCTTCCAATTTAGGACAGTGCTCCCAGAGTATTGTATCTGAGAGCTTTGTATCGCAGTAGCATCTGAGGCCCGGGAAGAGGGTCCCAGGGATCGGGAGACTTAAAGCAGGTCAGAGACACACATACAGTGAGGCTTCGTGAGCCTGGGTGATTTTCTATGTTACTTTGTTCTACTCTCCACAAAAAGAGTTACGTTAAATTAGTTACCTTACCCTTGTGAGACTATTGTGAAAGGGATCTAGGTTAGTTTAAAATTAAAGATCATCAGAAAAATTTAGAATACCTATTTCTGTTGCCTTTCTTCACTTTCCCAAGCCATCAGGCTCACCCACTGTGCTGAGATGGTAAGTTACCTGAACGATGGGCAGACAAAGCAAGTGGAGAACGTTTTGTGAGATTTTCATAGAAAAGAAAAAAAATTATAAAAAAAAAAACTTTTCTAGGGATCTTGCCAGAGGAACCATCACAGTAAACTGCAGCATTGAGATAGATCTAAAGGAATCTTGGATCTTAATAATAATGGAGTCTTTCATATATAATTATTCCTATGTCCCATATGCAGATTTTCCCATCTCTTTATGTTAGTGTTTTGGTCAAACAACTTTATTGTTTTTTAGAATGTTTAAGAAAATAAAACTTCAAGTTAAAATCTTTATCAGGTTGATTTGCTTATGTAGTAAATACCAGTATAATGAGCTTTGAAATTTGTTAACAATTCACTGTCCAGATTTAGGACTCCAGCTTTCATGATGGGGCAACAACAGCATGAGATACCTTTGTAGCTCTACAGGTAAAAAAAACCCGGTATGTTCAGTCCTTGGTTTCAAGTGCTCTAAGTAATACAGAGAATTCTGGAAATGAATTAGCAAAAACCCAAACTGCCAAGATTCCTGACAGAACTGACTCTGGCCTACTCACTAAATGTTGGCATCAGCAACAGTGGGTTTCTTTGTTTTGGTTTGGTTTTTTGGCGATGAGAGGAAAGTTAGATGCAAGATAAGTAAGATGGGCCTGGGATTTAGCTCAGTGGTTCCGCCTCCTGCCTCACAAGGGCTCAAGGTCCCGAGTTTGATCCCTGGTAACAACAACAACAACAAAAAAAGATAAGTAAGATGAAAAGAGCTGTCTGAGGGGATATATCCCTGGTGTTTGAAGCAAACATTCTAGCTGTGGGTGAAATATATTTCAAGACAAAGTTTCTGATCTTATTCCTGGATTAGGACAGCCAAGGAGCTCCAATAGGAAAGTGATTTGGCGCATGCCCACACAAAGCCCCTTCAGCACTGTGGACTTGCTGTTCAGTTTAATGGCTCACCTCCCCACCCTGCTGAGGTAATTAAAGTGTTCTAAAGCCCCTTCAGAATTCAAAAATAGTTTCTGTTTGCTGGCCAGGTGATAAATCTCATTGAGCCTGACAGAAATTCAATTATACTTTCTTCATGAAAACACCAGGGATACCCATTACCTGGTTCTCTCAAGCTAAAGGCTTGCAGATCCCCTGCAGTTGAAAGGTTAGGTACTAATAACAAGTTCTTCGTCGTTTAAATGGATGGATGGCCTCTTTAAGGTAGCCAGCTTAAATTGGACTGAAAACAAACTGGTCTTGGCTTTGGGGAAGAACAGCTCAGAAATAGCTACCAGTTGGTCTCTGTTAACATCACACAAAAGAGAGAATTAAAAAGTTTTTTCTGTTTTTGCTTTTTATAGACATCATAGCTCCACTCACTGAGGAGTTACAAGATTAACAAGTGTGGAAGTGCATTGCTGAACACCTGGTTGAGTAGCCAAAGCAAAGCCCCAAAGAGAGTAGGGCATGAGATAACCTCACAAGTCTCTGGCCTGCTGCAATGTTGAGTTCATTCCAGATTTAGTTTGAAAGCGGAAATTGCGGTGTACGCTTTTGCTGGAAAGCAGTGGGAAAGCTCTCTTTGTCCTGCTATTTGTCTACTAGAGCTGTTCATGGCAATGTATAGTTGCCATGCCTTCTCCATCTGTCTGCAAATCATCTTCCTGGCAAATAGCAGAGAGGCTGATGTTGAAGGAAGCACAGCTCTGGAGTGTGACAAGCCGGGCTAGGGATACGGAGAAAAGTCCAGTGGATTAAATTTCATTTACTCTGAACACACTTCAGAATAAATCAGCTGTCCCTACCTCCCGGACAGAGTGAAATCTTACAAAATCTTGGGGTCACCGTGAATCAGCCCTGACCTCCTACTGTCCCTAGGCCCGATTCCAGGCTGTCACAAGTCTAAACTATTCACCTGGAGCAAATTCTTATTTAGAAATGCTTCCCGTGAGATTAACCCCTGACCATTTTCTGCACTGTGATTACTATGCTCCCTTGATCTCTTGACACCTTCTCATTTCCCTCACTTTAAAATGATAATTTCACTTTAAATACTTCTGTATCAATGCCTTTTCCCTCTACAGAGATTGCAGAATATTCATTCAAGTCTTTGGAAATAATCTAGTGTCACAGAGTCAGGGCTGGGAATCAAATATGCAAGTTATAAAGATATTTGGCTCGGGTGCTATCTCAGTTTTCCTAAAAATGATTGCATGAACTTATAATTTCATGGTGCAAAATAATAAGATTATTAAATAAGCTCAGACCTAGCGCCCCGCTCGTAGCCAGGAAATGTCCTGGCATTTGCTAACGTTGCCTTACGGTCCTTCCATGTCCCCTGCGTGTGTGCCTGGTTTTTGTTTTGTTCTGTTTTCTGTCTGATTTGAATTTGACTTTTGTGAAATATTTTTGCATGCTATTATTTGGATTTATTTTATATTTTACACATTGTTTTCTTCCTCTGCATCTGTGTTTTTCTTCCTGTTATTTTGTTTTGTTTTGTTTTGTTTTTACTAGGCGACCCCCTCCTGCAGTTCCAGGACGACCATCTTAACCCCCGTCATTCATCTCTTTTTGTTTCCAACAACATGTCTGTCTGTGGTATTTAAAAGTCTTTCATTTGCACTACATGTCATATGTACATAAAAACTTTTATTTTTGATCTTTGTCTATAATAAAAATAAAGTTTATTCTATATAAAAACTGAAAAGTGTTTGTTTCTTTTCCTAAAGACACAAATTAAAATAAGAATTTGTTTCACTAAAACCAGGTAAGGTGAACAATACATAACTTGGTATTTTAAAATTAATTAAAAAGATCTAAGTTCTTTTTTTTTTTTTTTTGGACCTGGGATCGAACTCATGACCTTGTGCTTGCAAGGCAGGGGTCGGAACCATTGAGCTAAACCCCCAGCCTCTAAGATCTAAGTTCTTAAAGCATTGTGATTTAAGATACTCTTTGGTAGAGAATAATAGTCTATTTTCAACTGAAATTTCTACCCAAAAGAAAAGTAAAAAGATGAAGAAAAATTCTGAGAGTCTAGAAAAGACACAGAAAACTATGTAATTTCAATCTGCCTCCAGGAATCCTGTTAATAATTATTGCACCAAAATAGTCTTCCTAATTTTATTATTTTTCTAAATACTCTTAGGAGGTAAAATATGTAAGATCATGCAAAAAGGTAGGTCTGAAACACATAACCTCACATATTTTATTTGGCTGATCCAGGAGTTTAAAAAAATATCATAAACTGGGCCCAGTGGCATATACCTGTAATTCCCGTTATTCAAGAGACTGAGGTAGGAGGATCTTAAGTTCAAGGCTAACCTGAGCAACTTAGCAGGACCCTCATGTGGCGGGGGGGGGGGGGAAGAGGGGAATAGGAAAGAGAAAGGGAAAGGAAAGGGGCGGGAGGAAGGAAGGAGCCCATTCAAAATGTAATAAAATTAGGCAAGGAAACGTGGCCACCTTGAGAAGCTCCATCATAATGTCAGTATAGTACAAGAAAAACCAAATCTTTATAAGTTTAAGGAAAAACATAACTTTTTTACACCTTCATCCTCAAATGATAATTCCAACATTGAAATTTTAGCTCATTGTGTTAAAATATCTCAGACTTCCCCAAATAAAATGTTTATTAAGGTAATACAGTACACTCTGCCACAGAGGTGACAGCCTCCCCAAACGTTTTTAATTTAATTCAAAATGTTGTGACAATTTACAGGGTGTTATTGTAATTTCAAAGTAGCCCTTCTCAGACAAGATCTCTCAATGTGACCCACATCAGCTATGTAAAGTAAGAATACTGTAAGGCAAGAGAGTGAAAATATCATCCATCAGCACTTGCATTCCACTCATCTCAGTGGCATTGTACTTACCTGTGACCTAGGTAAGCCCTCGTAATGAAAGGAGTGAGGAAGATGTGGGCAGGCTCTCCCAATTTAAAAGGAGAGATCCCTCATTAATAATGCTTTTTCTTTGGACAATAAAAATATTTTTATCATCTGAAGTCTCCACTCAATGCAAAACCAACTTGTCGGGTTGAAAGTTTTATGTCACATGTTTCACCCATTTTCAGTGTATCCCAGGTCGGTGGTGACCAGTCATAGTCACTGGTCACAAAGTTCAAAGGCTCCAAAGCAAGGGGTTTACCGGAAGCCCATGTAGACCTGCAGGTGATTGAATTGGTACAAAATAATGAGTGTAAGCACATAGTTCTGCTCTTCCCTTCACCTCACTCTGGGCACTTGGCTTTTTGTTTTTTGGTACTGGGGATCGAACTCGGGTCCTTGAGCTTGCGAGGCAGGCGGTGGAACCACTGAGCTGAATCCCCAGCCCAGCATTTGGCTTTTTCATCAGTATTGTTACTGCATGACATTCTTATGAGAGAGCATACTCCCTCCAATAGACACAATATTCCCAGATTATTTCCCCAAGCCGAAACAGAGCTCATCAATGGGAAGGTTTTCTCCAATTCACTTGTTGTAAGTGTTTGTGCTTTTTCATTTTGTCTGAGATTTCAAGAAGAGCTTATTTCTAAACAATGTTACACAGTTTACATGTTTAAACTTTAGGTTGACCTAATGAACAAGGAGAGAAGAATACTCCAGTCGTGGCAGAATGAAATAATAACATTAGTCTCCTCAACACAGACGCGTGTTCCCCTGCTCATGTTCTAGAGGCAAGAAAAGAAACAGGGAAAGTCAGGGAAGGAAAACAACAGCATAGATTTAGTCTGTTAGGTGTTGTTAATATGTATTTCTATTAGTAATATTTCTACATCTCACTCCAACTCTCCATTAACTCTCTGTCTCCATCTCCACCTCTGCCCTCCATATTTGATAAGAGAATTAGAAAGGTTTTTATTATTCAGAGTTGATCATAATTCAGGAAGGTCAGAAGTCAAACTGTAGCACCTTTAGTAGACATATTCCTTAAATATCACCATGGCTTTATGCATCAAACATTTCTTGAAGTCATAATAATCTCCTAGTCACTGGGAGGGCCGCAGAAGTAACAGGAAACCTGCTTATACAGTAGCTAAATAAACAGATACAGTGCTATGAGACAGAAAGGTTGGGTCAGTCATCTTTCCAGGGAAAAACTGTGCTGACAGCGATTTCAGTTGTACATCATGCTATTCACTTGCCCCAGTACAGGCTAATGTTCTAGAACGTGGTGATTGTGACTTCTGACAAAGAAAGGAATAATGGAATTCATTTTGACCAATCAAAAAACCAAACATTTCATTCCTAACAGCATATAGAATGCAAGACTCTAATTCACTGTATTGGTTGGTTGAGTTTTGAAACCATGGCCTGCTGACTTGCTTTGGCTCCTGACTGACAGTCTGCGGATTTAGAAGGTAACTCTGCCACAGTCTTCCCCCGGGCAGCAGGGAGAGGAGCTGGAGTTCCCCAGGCTACAGCTGGAAAACCCCAAACCATAGAAGATATGGAAAAAAGAGAACTAAAGGTAAGAAGAAAAAACAAAAGTCCAATCCTTTCCTTGTGGGGGTTCACTGTGAACAAATGTCTGTAAGCCTTAGAGGCCTCATATACATCAAGAGGTGTACCAGTAGACATCCTAGAAGTGCCAAGCCTGAGGGAAGTAGGAAATAACTGATGCTTATTTACAGGCAAGGATATTTCAATGGGCTTGGAACATGATAGACTTCAATGCTCTTTATCGTATAACAGTGGTGGCGAACCTATGGCACACGTGCCCCAGCCAGCTGTTTGTTATCATTGAAAGTTCTAAAAGGTTTGCCATCACTGTACTGTAGGTTAAAAAAGGTACTTGCCAATGTTTGATTCATAACTTAACATTAAGTATGCGGTAAAAAATTCTCATAAAATTGATATTAGATTCTTTAGTTCCAGTTTCCTGTGATTCTGAAGTAAAGCTTCCTAATGTTCATCTATGAGTCCATTTTTTATGAATGTTGCTCACAGAAAGACTGCAAAAAATGAAAAAAAACTATGATTTCTAGGGTTTTTGAGTAAATCACATTGAGCTTATCAATATCACATCACTTTATGTTCCCCAGTTAAAGACATACCAGCTGCCTCAATATCATAGTGTACATCTGTTGTTTTTAATTGCTGGTTTTAATGCTGCAAGTTCCTATACAATATTTTCAGCATATTAAGATCAGATTTGGTAGCAAGCTGCTGGATGAGTCAAGGTTACAAATTGCTACTTCCCTACTCTGTTTGTCATCAAATTTCATGATGCTTTATATCAAGTTTGATTTTCAGTCCTAGTTCAGATCTTCAGTGACACTCATGATCGTGAGTCAAGAGCAGGCACGGAGTAAAGACAGTCTCAGCCAGCACCAGAAGGCCAAAAGAAAATTAAGGATCCTCCAGACACTAAGCAAGACTCTAGTGAAGTGAGTTCTGCCTCTCAACACAGCTGCTAACAAAGAATCAAGCCCTGCTTCCTCAAGCCCAACCTTCCACGGCGTCTTGGGCAAGGCTGGCCCTCACCATGATCTCTGATCACTTTGCCCAGAATCAAACTTTCTAGAGCATCACAACACTGCCTGCTATTAAAGTTTGGCACAGTTCTCAGGAAATGTGTGTCATTATCCCCAAAGAGTGCTGGTCAAAATGCACACCACCCAGAGAATTTGCACACTGATCTTGTTACAATGACATGCTTCTGATGCTATGAGGAAACTCACAATGTGAGTCACTTCCTTCACGGTGAGAAGCCCCCAGAAATCCACCACTCCCCACACATACTCTAGCCACACTTTCTAACCTCAACTTGCTGGTGTCAGTAGCCTTTTATGCCAGTCTGCGTGAGCCATCCCAGAACCCCCAGACTTGTAGGTCATCACCTATGCTAATCCACATACAGTTCTGTACATCCCTGTTCTGCTCGCCTGCTTCTCCCAAACTTTGGACACCTTCCAGTGCACCGTCTCTAACTCACCACTCCAAATTTCTCTGCATTTTCAACCTAGTCCCTGGGACGCACTCTTGACAGCCTTGCTCTAACCAGATTTTTCTCTGAAAGCACTAATTTCTCTGCAATCTTCTCAAAAGATTCTCCCACAGCCTGGCAGCCTGGAATGGACATGGTATCCTTATTTGACTTTTTTACATTCAGACTATTCTTTCCTCATGCCTAAAGACCCCAGCTTTAAATCTCCACATCAGATCCTAGCGCCCCTAACTGACGTTGCTTTCAGCCACCAACCCCAATCCCTTCTCCCTTATTTCTTGATGATATTTAGTTTCTGTTTTACTTGCTCCTTCCAGTGCTAACTCCTGTCCTACTTCTTAGAGATTTTCATATGTAGTATAATTGAAAATATGTTGAGTGTTTACATTTTACAAATTAGTTACAGTAAAAGATTCATTGCCATCCAAAACACTCCCCCTTACTTCAAACACAATTATCCCATCACTTTTGCCACTTTCTGAAGCAATTCTGCAAGTCCTTTTTATTGAGCGACTTTAGTTTTGCTGTCATGGCTGCCTCGATGTTCTAAACTGAATCAGAATGTTTACCATTCATGGTCATTTTGACTTTGGGGAAGAGTTAGAATTTGCACAATGCCAGATCCAGTGAACAAGCAGATGTGGACACACCATAATGTTATTATGACCCTGCACCAACATTCATTTTATTTTTCATCCCACCTTGTAAAGACACAAAAGAGAACTTCCAAATCTGCCTCAGAAAGTGGCATGAATGATGAGAAGTGTGTTCAAAGTGTGTGTGGGTTGGGGGGAGGGTATGTTGAAGGGGTTTACTAGCAATGTATCTTTTACTACAATAGCTTTTTAAAATTTAGACATTCACCATATATTTGGTTCATCTTTTGTGTCCCTGATGTAAACTACCCCATCCTCTCATTTTCCTGGGCTTCATTCTTCCAATGATCTTGCCCTCCACCCTATCTCAGCTACTCATTCCCCAAATTTTAATTTTGTCTTTATCCACTCTCTGATCTCCACTTCGTATTTTTGTCACTCACTTTTTCTATAGTTCTAACCTCTTGGACATCCAATCAACAGACCTTTTTTCTGTCCCTCAGTCCCCTGTCCTTCATACCCAACTTAAATTCTATGATCAGTCATTGTAAGCATACCTATATACCTTTGGCCTTGGACCTTCCCTTAGTTTGATAAAATTGCCACTCTGAGTAAATGCAACTCTCTACCTACTCTGATTTGCACCATGTAACTGTACATTGCCTTGAACACACACACATAAGTTCACACACAAAGCCAAGTGAATGGGTTTCACTTTAAATTCATCACCACCATACTCAAGTGAGCTTTAATACTGCCAGGAAATTAATGACACCAAGCATCACTAGTCCATTCATTCTCAAAATATCTTGAGCTATTTCACACTATCTCCTCACTCCCCTACTCATTCCCCCTACAGAGGGATCTCACCTGATTCCTTGCCTCCAGCTTTGCTGAGAAAATTGAAGCAATCAGAAAAGGACTTCCAAAGACTCTCTGCACCTCATCTACCCACTTTTAACATCTGATCCATCCTACTCTGCTTTCCCACTTGTTACCATAAATCAACTATCGCTACATTTGGCTAAGGCCAGCGCTTCCACTGTGCACTAGATCCCTTTTCCTCTCCCTTAATCAAGGATGTTACCTAGCAACTCTTCTCTCACACATCATCAACTGCTTCTCTACAGTTCCATTCTGATCAGCATGCAAACATGCTATCATTTTTACCTTCATTTTCCCTTTATTTTCTATCCTATTTCCTGACTCCCCTATGAAGCAAAAGTTCCAAAAAGCTGTCTGTACTTACTGCTCCAGTTCCTCTTCTATTCTCTCTTAGACCCACTCCAAACAGGTTGTTTTTCCTACCACTGCATGGAAACCTGCTCTTTCATGACGCCTCCTTATTAAATACAATCGTCAGTTCTCAGTCTTTGTCTCGCTTGACTTACATTTTGATTTGATCACAGCTGATCACCCTGCCCCTCTTGAGTCACTTCATTTCCAGGACACAAAACTCCTTATTGTCCTTTTGCTTCCATAGTTTGCTGTCAGAATCTTTATTCTTGTTATTCTTCCAACCTTTGTACTTTGGCATACTTGATTGTCTTTATCTCTGTCTATATGCACTTCCTTATCCAGTCTCATAGCAGTTAAGTATCACTTATATTGCCAACAAATCTGAAATTTATATCTCCATTTCATACTCCTCAAATTCCAATCTCATCTCTCCAATCCCTACTCACATTCCAGTCTGGTTGTCTGTAAGACATTTCATACCCTATAGGCCCCAAACTAAACTCTTGATTTTCCTCCCCCAAATCTCCACTTGAATTCTCTCTGCTCCCTTTCAATTGACTGCATATTCATCTTTAAATTCACTAGGGCTCAAAATCCTAATTTACAACTCTTCTCTTTCACATCCTACATCTAATTCATCAGGAAGCCCCACTGGCCTTGTGTTCAAATTATATCCACCATATGACTCCTTTCACCATTTCCTCTACTATCACTTTTCTGAGCTACCATCATCTCCTGCTGGAATTACTCCAAGAGCCTCCTAGTGTTCTCCCTGCATCTACTCTTGCCCCTCACCAACCAGAATGAGCCTCAAAATGTATGCCAGATCTCATTCTTCCTTTTCTTCACAACCCTCCAGTGGCTCCCATCTCAGTCAAAGCCAAAGTCCTTCCATTGCTTACAGTGTCACATGTAATTTAGCCTCCCATGTGACTTTGCTGGCCTCATCTGCTGTCCTCCTTGTTATTCACTGGGCGTGTCAAGCAATCTTCTTTCTGGGGCCTTTGCAGTAGCTCCTTTTCTGCCTGGAATGCTCTTCCCCCAGTGAATCTGAACTGCTCCCTTGCTTTCTTCAAGTCTTTAGTTAAACATGGCCTTTCCCATGACACCTACCTTGACACTCTTATTTAATACTATACCATCTTTTTCTTTCTTTCATAACATTAAGTTCCATTTGTTTATTATCTGTCTTCTCCTGTTAGAATGTAAGGCCTTTAACTTCTTTATGCATAGATATGTCACAACTATATGGAACACTACTTGTCATATAGAAAATACTCAGCAAATAGTTATTCACTGAGTAAATTCACCAAACAACATAAAACACAAATTGCAGAAAATGAGTAGAGAAAAGTCTAGGTAGGAACTAAATATTTTGTTGGATGTCAGGGAAGAGAATATGGGATAAAGGGGATAATGTGAGATTTGGCATAGCATTAAAGGCAATTGTCTATAAGTTGGCCTTTAGCTCTTGATGCAATTCAGTTGCCAGAAAATGGGGTCATCAGCCCAGCCTGTCAAGTTAAACAAGTTCCTGACACACAGAGGCTCAGTTTAACTGTGAAACAGAAATAATACCCGTTGCCTGTTGCGGTGGCACACACCTGTAATCCCAGCATTCAGGAAGCTGAGGCAGGAGGATCACCATGAGTTCAAGGCCAGTCTGAACTGCATAGTGAGACTGTGTCTCAAACAAACAAAAAGAGAAATAACACCTCCTGCAGGACTGACACGAGAAGTAAGATCATGGAAATGTCAAGTGCACAGCACAGTGCCTGGGACACATTGGGTGTTCTAAGATATAGGTGCTATTATTTCTCAAACACCCATGTTCTATTTGCTTCCCGAATTCATGGAGAACTCAAGGTGGTGTAGTTATTCTCTTTAACACAATTCAGCAAGAATTTCAAGAAACTCCTTGAATGTCACGTAAAAGAAAATATCAGTAATGTCCACTAGATGGCACTGTGTCCCAGACCGATTTCCTTTACTTCAGTGGTTTTGAAATACTGTATAATTGTGCAACGGATGCCCTCTGCTGACTTACCTTTTCCTTGCCCTTGTACTTTTGCTTAGAAGAGGTGAACGATGGTTCCAAGTGCATCTTCGTGTTTGCTCAGCATGAAGCTTTAACCCACAGCTACCTAAATCCTTTCTCAAAAACTTACACATTGACATCAGCACAGACATAACATGACACCAACACGATCTCCCCACAACCATGCGGGTTTCTACACTCACATGCACAGGGCTTCTAGCAACATGTGAATCACAAAGCAGCCACATTACTGGACAAAATAAAGCAATCTGGAGCCCTGTAGCTTCACCTCTCCCTGACCCCAGGTAGCCCAACTTCAATCCCTGGTACCTGTATCAGTCAGCTTTCCACTGCAGACAAAAATACCTGAGGTAATCAACTTAGAAAAGGAAAGATTTACTTTCAGTCCATGGTCACCAGGCCACCTTGCTTTGGGCCCATGGTGAGGCAGAACATCACGGTGGGAGTGCTTTGCACAGCAGTTTCTCACCTTGTGGCAGATGGGAGGCAGAGACAGGAAGGTCCCAGTGTCCCTGCAAGGGGACCTCGTGAAGGTCCCTGGCCCTCCGGGTAACGTCACAGGCTGGTGACCAAGCCTTTAACACATGGGCCCGTGGGAAGCAGTCAAGATCCAAACTGTAACCGCCACGTCTTGCAGGGATGGGCACAGCTGCCTCCCCACCCCCTTCCTGCTTTCCCTTGCAACAGCACCCTGGAGCCTAACGTAGCACTTAACTGCAAGAAGCAGGGCAGGGATGAGGATGGGGGTGGAGAGGGAGAAGGGCAGGCAGCTTATATGAGGTGCGAGCAAAAGATACACTGAATACATTTTTACAATGTATCACCAGTAAGGACACATTGCCATTTATTCCCCTCAAAACATTCCCCCTTGCTTCAAATACACTTACCCCATGGTTCTTGCCACTTTCTGAAGCAGTTCTGGAAGTTTTCTCTTACAAATGTCTTTAGTTGGGCTGTAATAGCTGCCTAGATGTCCTGAATGGATTCAAAACATTTACACTCTGTGGTTGTTTTCACTTTGGAGAAGAGCCAGAAGTCACACGGTGCTAGGTCCAGTGACTGTGGTGGATGCGGAGGCACTGTAGTTTGTATTTGACAGAAACGGACATAAACACTTTGAACCAATTCAGGACATCAAAGTGGCCATGAAGAGACATTCACAAGAGAACTTCTAGAATTGCTTCAGAGTGGCAAGAATAATGGGGTGTGTTCAAAGCAAGGGGGAATATTTTGAGAGGGGTTCATGGAAATGTGTCTATTGTAAAATTTAATTTTTAAGCATTAACCACGTTTCAGTCACACTGCATATATGCAGCATTCAACAGGCTGAGATTTAATTACCATGCTACTGTAACCTCTCCGTCTTACCTTCCCGCCACAACATATTCTTCACAAATCTAAATTGATATTCTACTTACACCTTTCAGTGTGATGTAAACTAAGACTGACTAGCTCACTGAATTTAAGTGATGAGTAATCCCTGGCAACTGTCACATTAGGGAATACCAAACATTTTCTAGGCCTGAATTCCTGCACCAGCAGGGACCCAGTGACACCTACCACAGATGAGCTGCATCACCCTCAGCAAAACCTAAGGGCTCAGGGCCTCTTAACAAAACATTTACGGTTGGCTGGGGATTTAGCTCAATGTTTCTGGCACCTGCCTCGCAAGCATAAGGTCCTGAGTTCGATCCCCGGTACCAAAAAACATTTATGGTTTATTAGCCATTTTTCCTAAATCTTTTTAGAGTCCATTTATATTCCTGGCCTGTACAACTTCAATGCAGAAAATATATTAAGTTATATTTTGTCTTACACTTACCCTGCTCAAATTTCTAGTATCTTCTCCTACATGTCATTATTCGGTGAACCAACCACTATTTGCTTTCACCCTTTACAATTTATTTTTCCTGTGCAGGGAATCAAATTCAATGCCTCACACATGCTGGGCAGGTGCTGTACTGGTGAGCGACACCACGCACACCTTTAGTTCTTCACAGGCAATGTTACTTCTCCTTTGAGGCATCCAGGCTGTATTCTGTTCTCTGATCCATTTTCATAGGGCAACCTCCCTTCTCTCTGATTTGTATCTTTTGGGTTATTCTAGCTTCTGTGACCTTTCCTAATTCCTTGATAATCTAGTCATGGAGCAACCAATTAGTATACTGCAAAAGCTAAGAGAAGTGATCTCTCTCGCTCTCTCACACACACACACCCTCTTCATCCTCTCTTTACTCTGCATGCTCTTGTTTTCTGCCTTCTGCTTTCAGAAAAATCATCAGACAACTTGATGGATGTGGTGTTACTTTTTTAATAAGTAGAAACCATGTCACTTCATTTGTTGCTGCAAATAATAAATGAGAGGCAATAATTTAAAAGGGAACCAGAGAGCTTTTCCATCTACAGAACAGCAGAAAGGACAAGCACCTTCACCACACAAGCCTTTGGTTAATTTGTTTCTCTTCTGATCTCCACTCTCACCCACATCAACCTGCTGCTTCCAGACTGGAACTCTACCTTCACACTTTATACTGGCAGGGTGTTAATCTATCAGCCTGGCTTAATATCATGGAAGTCCTAAATTAGCTGAGGAACCTGGACAAGTCTTCTTTGATTTCAGCTTCATCCCAAGGCCCATGAATGTTTTCCTTAAAGAGCTGCAGGCGAATGAGGTAGAAAGGGCAGAGACACGAGATGGAAACCAGCAGAAGGGCAAAGAGTATGGCTCCCACAGCGCTGATGGACAGCAGGCCTCCAAAGGCTGAAATCGCAAAAAGCAGTGTAACCCCCACATAGCTTCGGGGAGTGCGTGCCTTCAGTTTCTTCTGTAACATGGGCCACAAGGCAAAAATCTGGATGGCAAACGTCACCATGATGAAGGCATGCAGGGACCGGGGAAGACGTGAAGCCAGGCAGACAGAAGCAAAAATGGCCATGTTCAAGGACAGCGTGCTGGATACAATGGCAGCATTGGCACCATAGTCAAAGAAGATGAGGTGGCCTAACAGCATGAAGACTGACATGGCATAGATGGTGTCTGTGCTGACAGACTCGGTCAGGGTCTTCAGCACTGGTGAAAACCCGTAAGTGAAAGTAATGAAGACAAGGGCACTCTTCAGGTCAGCCCAGCGGGTCCGCCCACTCTTCTGCCGCCCTTCACCTCCATCAATGAGATCGAACAGAACATATCCAATCAATGAAGATGCCAGGCCAGTCCCTAACAGCCAATGAGGGGCCAAAAGACCCTCGTCCATGTACCACCAGATAACCACAAAAACACAGACACTGCACAGCTGTTGTATCACCACACTGGACTCAAACACTACAGCCCAATACTGGTATTTCCGGGCATAAATGTTTTTCCGGAGCTCTTCCAGGAACCGACGGTCCACATAGTTATCAGGGAAGGGCTGACGCTTATACAGCACCTTCTGCCATTTGACCTCTGTGGTATGAGTTTCAGGCTGGTCACACATTATCTTATCCTATCCCTCAATCTCAGGCCAGGAAATCTCCCTCAAAAACGTCCATGTGCCTCTTGTTCTTTATGAAGTTTTGAAATAAGACTTCTCTGGAGATTCCATGCCGGGATTCTTCCTTTTCAAGGGCAGCAACTTAGGGAAGGCTTACAATAGACGGGTCTGTTCTCTGCGGCTGGACAACATGGCCAAGTCCCTAGAAAAAGAGAAACTTGTGAATATGGTACCTGCAAGTTGTAAAAGGTCAACAGTAGGATTCGGTTAAAAATCAAACCAACTCAGTTTGCTAAAAGTCTAAATAAAACGCATTTAGTGATCTTCTTAGAGTCTGGAGCACTAAATTGCATTTCATATTCTTGTTTGCAAATTCAGACTTCCATAAGCTTAATGACTTTTAAAATAATTAAAAAATTTTTTTATTAGTACATGTTTCCAACCATGCAGTTTACAATCATCTTAGGGAGTCATTACATATACACATTATGCTTGTTTCTTTTTTTTGTTTAATCCCCTTTCTCCCCACCCCCCACCCCGGTTCCCCTATGTATTTCATAAAATTTTAAAATTATAATCCTTTGAAGAAAAGGTATCTGTTAGCTGTCACTACTATGGGTGCCTACTACGGTCAAGTAAGTGCCTTATGTATTTTTTAAGTTTAATTTTCACAGCTTTGCAAGTTGGTATTAATTAGACCTGTTTTAACTAGTACACAATTAATTCAAATTGTTTAGGTATTCTTGGCCTAGGTAACAAGAGTAGTAAATGGTGGGGCCAGGATTCAAACCAAAGTCTAATCACAAAGCCTGGACCTCACATCATTATTCCCGACAGGGTGCAGGTATTCAGGTGTCTGAGCTACTGCAACTTATGCAAACTTATAAGGACAGAATCCGTGGCTTTTATAAAGTTCTCAAAGACAGCCTGATTTTTAAATCTCTGGTTTAAGGACAACAGGAAACTGAATTAATGGGTAAAGGTAGGAGCTCTAGGGTTTAGCCAAAGTCAGACTCGAAGAAACTATTCTTCATCCATTAACTGTGCTTCTAAAGAGCGATCATCCTACTTAAAACAGCGGAAATATTATGAGGCTCGATGAAGACAATCGTCTCTTTTTGACAAAGGGAAAACTACCGTCAGAAACACCAGTGTCACCCAGGAAATCTGACCAAAAGAAGTTCTTCTGCCCGGCCTTATTTATTAAGTGCAGCCCGTGACAGGCTCTGCTTCGCAAGCCAGACACTCCGGGTGCCGTCCTGCGGTGGGGACCCGGCTCGGGGTCTCCGGGCGGCCGCTGGGACGGAAAAGGCCACCGCGCTGGGCCTCGGGGTCGGGCCGACAGGGCTGGACGTCCCCGGGGCGCCCTGCTCACTCTCCGGGCTCCCAAAGGTAGGTCGGCCGGAGACGCCAGAGGAGGGGAGCACCGGAATCCCTGACGCCCACTCGGAACCCACCTGCCCGCCAGTCCCCGGGGGTGCCCCCGTGCGCCAGGGCGGCCGCCCCACCTCCTTCCCTGCCCGGGGCACCCAGATGGCGACCGCGGCCGAGAACTTCCGGGTCCGGCTCACTAGCGGCCAGAGCGCCCTTCAGCGACCGGGACCGGGCGAGCGCGCTGTTGCCCCCTGCTGGCTGCTCGGTTCCCCACACTCCACTTCGGGCTTGGGAAAAGCAATTCCCCTCAGAAAAGAAGGGCACCAATGGGGCAGCCAATGGGCTGGGTAAAGCGCCAGAGGACAGGCACGAGGCTGGGCTGGCAGAAGAGAGATAGTAACAGCCATTTTGGTTGAACTCCCACTATTATGTCAGGCCCTCGGCTACAGACTTCCCCTACACTTCGCTGAACAGACTCTCACCCAGAACCTACAAGTGTTAAGCCCTGCTTTTGTGCTCAGGATACAGCACTGGACAACGCAGATAAAACTCTCAGCTCTCATGGAGCTTGCTTTATTGTGCAGTGACTTTTACCGTGAAGACATTATCAGAAGGTGGTAATTTGTCTGAGAAGTGGATGACCTGAGATCAATAGTGCCCAGTTGTCTAAGGGTTCAAAGCTTTCTTCTTTCCTAAACTTCCCTCCTTAATAGGTTGGAGGGCCCTGTTTCTGAAAACACAGCTTGCTAAATTCATCGAAGCACTACACGATGCAATAGATGGAAGTAATAAAGAAGCAAAGGGAGATAGTGGAACACAGGATAGAGTGGACACAAGAGCCAGAAAATGCGAACCTATTTACTCAGGGTAATCCACATTATTGAGCTTTAATTTCTTCATCTTCAAAATGGAGGGAACACATTTGCTTTTGGCTACTTTATGGGATGGGTAGAAGAATGAAATATAAAAATGTTTTGCAAAGTGTGGACTGTTAATGGCTGCTGTTAGCTTATTTTGGTCATCATGATAATAGCAGTGGTCAAGTCTGATAAAATCTAAAATATGATCTCTTTCCATTTCTCCCTAGGTTGCTGTTCCAAAATTTAACAAAGTTCCTTGGCTTAGTGAAGCCAGCCTCACAAACAAGCCATTAGTGCTCAGTCTCCCCAAAAGGTAATGACTCAACCACTGTAGACAAAGTTTTCATGAAAGGTTTCACATCAGATATTTTCTTAAGGGAGGAGGAGCAACTTTCAGAGGGGTGTATCTGATTAGGTGAGAAGCCAAATCAAGTAGTCAAAAACTAGAAATGTCCCAGATTCTCAGACAAAGGTGAACTTTGACTATAGGCTTGGCTGGAGATGAGACCCCAAATAACCTTCCTCTGTACCACCACTACTCAACAACACAAGAGAAATTTGCCCCTAGACTCTTCCTCTCAAAACATCCTTCCACCTTCTTCATCGCCCCATCTTTTTCTCCTCTGCTTTATTTGAAATTTTCACATTTTAACCATCAGAAGTCTAGACCTATAACTTCCCATCTTCATGGTATGAAGCTCCCTGTGTTTAACTTTGAGACAATCTCCTCCAATATCATCTATCTTGCCTCTTCTAATCAAGACAATATAGAACACATATTTCTGCTTTTCCAAATTGGATAAATTTATGTGTAGGGACATTTTTATTATTTTATTATTTATTTATTTAGGTACTGGGGATCAAACTCAGGACCCTGAGCTTGCAAGGCAGGCGGCGGAACCACTGAGCCAAACCCCTGGTCCTGGGACATTTTAGCTTCCACTTGAAATAACTGGGCTTCCTCATTTTCCCCCATTTTCTTCTAATGAAATTGTCCCTTGGTATGGTGATACACCCTGCTCTGGGAAAATAAAATAAAGGGTGGAAAGAGAGAAACCGGGAGAAGGTCGGGGAAAGGCAGGTCTAGTGACAATTTCATAGGCACATGGTAGGCTAGAAAGGTCAGCTACCTGGCATGTGGGCAGGTTGCTAGAAAGATCTCCAAAAGAGTCTTCATTCCTGTTGGTAAATGCCATGTGCCCTCCTGCCAATGGATACATGGCACCCCATAAAGGACATCCCATCACTCTCTCCAGGACATTCCTACTTCAGCGACACAAAACCTTTGTTTTGTTTGCTGCACTTTAAAATACCACAATCTCAGTGAACAGTTTTGTGTATTTTCAGAGTAAATGTACAAATTCATATTGTTTATTGCTTTTTTTCTTACTTATCTTTGAATATATCTAAAACAGACAATTAGAGGTTTAATAAACCCAGAGCCTTGCTTAGGAAACGAAAACACTAATATAGTTCTTATTAAGAGTTGTTAATACTTCAGAAGTCAGCGTATCAGTTTAGCATCTTTTAATTGGGCATAGGGCACAAACTCACATGCTGATGACAGTGAAGTGGGTGGCATAATGAGGACAGCTGGCCAAAGGAAGACTCCAATGACTGAGCGATCATCCCCTGACCAAAGGTGATTCATAGCCTACCTTCCGCCCCAATCAGTGTTGCCTGTGGGTATGTGAGTCCAATGGCCAAATCTTCTGGGTTGCCATCCAGAAATCTTGAATTATTAAATGTGAAACTCCTGGTGTTTGACATCTAATAGGCTAACTTCCCACCATCCCACAATACCCTCATCAGACCTTTGCCTGCAGCCAGGAGAAAAACATTCTTGTACACAGTTCTTTTGCCTCTAGCCCTCTTGTTCTCTAATTATATATATTCTCTAATTATTTATGCTCTCTAATTACCCTGGTAGAAGGTGGAGAGCAAAGAACAGGACAGGGTTTGAGAAAGGCAGGTGCAGGACACAACTGGGCATCCCCAGAACCTGGAGTGTCAGAGAGGGCAGTCTATGGCCAACAGCTCGGAAAAGAAGGGACAGGTTTTCTTCTAGTCGGAAAATTAAGCTAATGTTGGGTGAGGAGAAATTACCTACGGTAGGCAGTAAAGGTCTGCTCCTTCCTATGCTTCAGTATCAACCCCAGTTTAGAGAAATAGAGCTGACTTATGGGAATTCCAAGATGGCCAGACAGCACCTGTGTGGTGCCCTGAGCTCTCTGGGGACAGGACAGGAGGGTCATTGGAAAGGAAAGGACAGGATGGTTGAAGTATCAACAGTTCTTAAGGCTTTGAGACTACTGCTCTGCCCAAATCTGTGCATCTCAAGCTGTTTCTTTTTGGCAAAACCCTTTTCTGAGACCTTGGAGGATAGTTCTCAGAGTGCTCCAAGTACTACATAGCCTTGGGCCGGCTTTAACAGAACTTCATGGAAAAGATAAAAGAACATTAAGTGATGTATGTTCAGAGTAACCCCAGATGGGAGCTTTGGAGACACTTGCATTTCCTTTCCAGCAGGACTCTCCCAGGTTGGCCTGACTGTATTGAGGCCATGCTCATCATCAGCTTCCAAAGCCCTGTAGGTCCTATTTATGTGAGTCCTGTTTATGTGAGATGAGCACGCACTGAAGCAGTTGTAACTGGCTTATTGGTGTATCCTGGTCAGTATGTGGGTTCCACATCCAAGGCAGCCCGTTCCCATGTCAAAGACAAAGTCTGTTGAAGGAGCTGGAGGAAGACTCACCTCTCCTTTTGAAGCCCATGGGCCAAGGGAAGTGGAGGAGAAATGAAGCAATCAACGCCTTATGAATGGCAAGCTCCTTTCACATGCCTTCACTTCACATGAACAATGAACAATGAAATCTCTTTTCAGTAGGAAGGAAAGGTGTTCTTGCCAAAGCCACCAGCATTCCAAGTTTCCATTTCTTGGTTGCTAGGGGCATGCACAGTGATGCACACATAGGCAGCGAGTGATCACCAGGTCCTTGCTTAGCCTGTAATAAAGTGAACCTCAATGACAACTGTGGCAGGCCACAGGCAGGCCACCCTGCAAAGAGGGTTAGGACTATCTGGGACAATCCCTGGGTCACCTATGCTCCAGAGCAACAGTGGTTAGAAAGAAGTCCAGGGCTAGGAAACAGATAGATTGCTTCCGTGTGCAGGGACACGAGTGCCAGGCATGAAAGGGCAGGCACAAGTTAAATACCAAGAATGGCAGTCAGTGCAGGTTCTTTCAAAGACACCTGGGGTGCGTTTCACCATGAACTTGTGCATTTATGAATAATCTTCCTCCCTTATTTGTGCTCTGTTGACAATCTAGACTTGTCATCGGTTGCCCAAAACTAAAGGAAGTGAGGAGCAAAAGCGATAAAGGAGGGCAAAGCTGTCTTTTAGGCACCCATTAAAGGCTTGAGCTTTCCAGAACCAGAGCGGGATGATGCTGCAGAGGTGTCCCCAAAGTTCTCTCTGAAAGACAGGGCCTGGCTCTGCAACTGCGGGCTGTGGTTCTAACTTTCTCTTTCTTTGATTACTTAGATTTCATTCCTCTGCTGCTTTTCTCACTTCATCGAAGAGGTATATGAATTCACCTATTTTGTTTTAAGTTCCAGATGTCTCATCTAAGGTACTCAATCTTTTTTAATTGACATGAAACCAACAGCAGTTCTAAGATGACATTGAACATGAAAGCATTTTCTCTCTTAGCACAGCCCTGGGCCTGGCATATGGTCAGCGCTCAATAAGTATTTGTTGAATGAAATGAATCGGCATCAGCTCCTCACTGTCTCAAATGCCTTAGGGATTCAGTCCACAGAGCAAAGAATAAAGAATAAAGGAATAAGATTAGAATCATCAAAAATAAAAGCCAAGCATTAAATATGGAGGAATTGGACCCAAGACCCTTAGAGACTGCTTCTCAGTCTGCAAGTAGATTTATTTTAGTTTCTGAAGTTTCTAACCACTTCCCTCCCATCAATTATTTATGTCTCCCACGTACATATCCCTACACCTTGGAATTATACATTAGAAATTCTCTCCTCTCCAGCTCACAGAAACCAAACACAAGAAGCGGCAGAACCACCAGCAAGCTTCCCAGTTGGTCTCTAGACTTCCTATTTAGACAGGCTCCCAACTACCTGCTTGTCCTATGTTTGCTCCAAGTCTGCATGCAGAAACCAAGGCACTGAGACACCAGACACCAAGATGGCTGGGGCAGAGAGTGAGGAAGAAACCACTAATAATGACCAGGGGAAAAGAGAGGCCTCCCTCTAGCCAGTGATGGTGAGACCCTTTTAGAGATGAGTGCCCAAACTGCAACCCGAGACCCATTTATGTCATGGAAAGTGCCAAGACTGCGATTAAACCTGAATACTGAGGGTTTAGTTTAGAAAAAACAACTCGTACATTAACATCTTTTGTCTTAAAAGAAAAACAAATAACATAGGTACCATAGGTTCGCCACCGCTGCTAGCCGAACTTTGCATTTTTATGGCTGCAATATTCATGGATGGCCACTGGGTAGCAGTCAAGAGCAACAGCTGCTTGGCCAATAAACTACCTGTTATAACCGCATTGCTCCTGCTGGGAGAGAACGGGGTATCCCCACCCTCGTCCTCACCCTCATCCTACTGGAGACTGACCCTCCACTGGTTTGTGTACGAGAAAGAGTTGCCCTTGCACATTGGAAAGGCAGGTAAGAAACCTAGGATCTTTGTTCTGTTGGGGGAGCAGGCAGTACTTCAGGTCAGATCTGTCACACAGACCCCCCTCAAATCTGAATCTGGCCCCCAGAATCTGCTGTGAGCACAAAGCCCTACACGCATGTGCTGTGAAGAAAACACAGGCTCAGCCAGCAGCTGCTCCTTTCCAAAAAGAAACTGCTGTGCCTCACGGGAGCTGAACGCACTGTGGACACTCTGTCTCTCTCCCTTCATGCTCTAACCCGGGGCCTGCCAAGAGGCTGCTGGCCATCCTGCAGCCGCCCAGAGAGGCCTTGGGCCCCGTGTACAGGCACAAAGGTCCTGCCACCTGCCTCCTTCCCCTTCCTGTCACAGGGCAAAGGGCAGAACTTGGAACACTCACAGTCCAGGTGGCTTTCTTCCCTGGCACAAGAGCACACGCGCCTGGGGCCGTGCTCCCTGAAGGACAGACAGAAAACAGAGGGCAAGTGGGTGGGACACATGGCGGGTGGGCCCCAAAGAGAAACAGACTAAGCACAGATAACAAAGAAGAAAAGTTTTGAATGAAACAAACAAAACACAACAAAGCCTAAAATTTTCCTCATTTACCGGACACAGGCTTTTTTTGTTTGTTTTAGTACCGGGGGTCCAACTCAGGACCTTGCGCTTGTGAGGCAGGCAGGGGAACCACAGAGCTACATCCCCGGCCCCACAGAGGCTTTTTCCGGACTCAGCACGTCCACAAGGCATTTCCACGTGTTGACCTGTGACTTCTCAAGATGCCGTAAAGTGGGGCAGTGTGTCGTAATCATCACAGAATTGTGTCAAAAGGTGACAACCATCCTCGGCGAGGCAAGGGTGGAAATGTGTGGCTGACCTGAGCAACTGCCCCTGGAGACCCCAATCCCCTCTGCCTCCATACTGGGGTCGGGTGTAAACTAGTCAAAGCGACCGACTCAAAATGCTACTCCACCCTCTCAAGTCTTGCCCCTTTCTCTTTTTATTGTCTTTCACCAGTGTTTGTTGTTCCGATTTAATAAGGCCCAGTAAAGATGAGAATATTTTGCTTTTAGCAGACCTAGGATAAAAGGTGTTGCTGAAAAATCGCGCAGTGGCAGTGGTGCAGCTGGGAAAACGTATGGGACGGTGACTTCCTATTTTCTCATTTTTCTCTCATTGACCCAAAATTTTGAAAGCTCACGATTACCAAGGAAACTGCGTCATAGACTCCTAAATCTGGGCTGGGGATTTAGCTCAATGGTTCCACCGCCTGCCTTGCAAGCGCAAGGACCCGAGTTCGATAGACTCCTAAATCCTTTTCCTTTTTATGTTGCCCAAACACGTATAACAGCAAGTACAATTTTAAAAGAGAATAATGAACACCATTGGCCTGAAATAGTGATGGTAATAAAAACTAAGTTTAGTAAGTCAAGAAGTATATGGATGTCTCCTATTTTGAGTATGTTTAAAACTTTTTTTCTAGTGAATAGTAAGAGCAGTTAAAAACTATATTTGGCTCCATTCTTTCATAGAAATAGCTGGTATTTTCAGGTAGAAGAAAAAGGTGTAATCATCGTATTTTTTTTTTGAATATTGAAAATAGTTCTCAGAACACTACTTGCACTCTAAGGCATGCAGGGATAACTTCATATGGATTCTAAGAGTCCCATTTTCCCTGAAGTCTGTCTTTGAGCCTTTTATCCAAAACAGTTTCCAGCCAACTGAAATTAAATGAGGTGTTATTGGAAAGACCTCTTAACCTTTCTGGGCCACAGTTTCCTCACTGGGTTAATTGAAAGAGCTGAACCAAGCAGTACATGAGATCCCTCTCAGTTAAGTTAGAGTAGAGGGAGCAAAATAGGCATGTTAAAGGGCAAGAAGGAAAGAGGGAAATTTATTAGTGCTCTGAAAATCATGCTGCTGATGTCTATTTTTAAAATCACTATCTGGCGCTTACATTTTCAGTTTTTGTTATGTGAAGGGGGGGAGGGGAGGAAAGGGGAGGGGAGGAGAAGGGAGGGGAGGGGAGGAGAAGGGAGGGGAGGGAGGGAAGAGGAGAAGAAGAAATTTCTTCATCAAGGATTTAAGAAGACCAAGGACTTGGGCCATGAACCAGCCCTTATGAACCTCGGAAGATACGGTCCTAAGATGTTTCCAGTTACGAACTGTGAAGAGCAGACTTTGACTTCTGTGGAGAGGCTGGAATCTGCATCACACCTCGACTGTGCTATAAACAGGTTGCAGTCCCTCTCCTGTCCCAGCTGCTATCTGCTGTGCTGAGGACAGCTGTTCAGGAAATGAGAGCCCCATTGACATTTCAACACCTCTGACTGCAGAGATAAGATCAGCAGGGCCTTGGCCGTGAAACTGGCTGATTCACTGTCCATTCCTGCTACTGCTATTAAGCTGGATTATGGAAATTTAGAAGGAGAAGGGAATAGTGCAAAAGGAAAAGACCTTGCTTTCAGGGTTAGGAAAGAAAGCTAGACAGAAAGGAGGAAATGAGACCTACAGAAAATGGAATCTCAAATCATTTGCATCAACTGTGGACTCGCCTGTCACAGCTGCCTTCCACGGCTCTCCTCCAAATAAAGAGAAATGGAGTAGCTCTCCCCTTGACCCAAGACCTTAGCTGATAGTCAGAACTGGAGTATAGCCACACACTGAGGAATGGCTTTTACTCCACATCTAAAGAGTGGGCAGGATTAGAATGTCTGCCTCTGTCTCTTTGGCCACAGAGATGATCAGTAGGGAAGAGCAGGCCCAGGCAGTTTATATTATTGACCAAAGTCACTCAGGTTGCTTGTAGAGCCAGGTCTGCAACAGAGCCCTTTGGTTCTCAGCCAGGGCTCTTCCCCAGCACCTTATGAGGATTTGTTGCACCACAACACTAATGTCCTGGAATGTTTACCTGAAAGCAATGTTGTAACAGAGACCCTTGCAAACATAGGCATTTTGTGGTTTAGGTACATATATATATTTAGATAAATATATATATACATATTCTGGATTATACCCATTAATTTAAATTACCTACAGTGATTCATTTATCCAACCAATATTTGTTGAATGAATGAATTTAAACATCTGAACATTGGTTGGTCAGTGCTTGTTCCAGTTTAATAAGGTAGTGTAAAGACGAAAATATTTTGCTATACAAGACATGCTTCTTGCTCCTAAATTCATCTCAGCTTGATAGAGGAAAGAAATTATATCTATCTATCTATCTATCTATCTATCTATCTATCTCGATAGATAGAGAAAGAGAAGAAAATGAGAAAAGAGAGAAAGAGAAGAATAGAATAGAAGAATAGAATAGAGAGAGAAAGAGAAGAAAATGTAAAGCTGATGGAGTCAGAGGAGGCACCCAATAAACGGTAGTTTTTTTCAGAAAGTAACACTACACGATTGCTTAAAAGGTAAGGGGTTAACAAGCACAGACAGTGCAATATAGAAAACATCTTATCCTTCATGTTCCAAAGGATGGAAGTCATCACAGTTGTGGGACTCTGTAGTCACATCTACAATTGTCATTACTTAGCAAGGTCTTGCTGTATACCTTGGAGATCTTGCAAATATATTTGTTGTTTGGCTTGCAGTGAACTCTGTAATTCCAGTCCTTGGAGTCTAGCAGTAGTCTTAGGCAGGAAATAGAAGTCTGGATATGGTGAAAGATTTAATTTCAGGGAAGATAATATGTAACATATTTACAGCACTGCCAAAAATAAAGTTACCCAAAGGTTTTCTCACACCTAACCTCTCCCTGTCCAGGTCTTCCTCATTCTTTCAGACCAGTGAAAAATGCCATTTTTAGCAACTCTTCTGATTTTTCCAATCAAAAGTACTCTCTCTCCTTTCTAAGAGCCCAGAGATATTGCTGTTTCTATGATACCTAATGCAAACAATTTTGGATGGCAAGTTTAGTGCGGTATCTTAGTCTCAGACCTCAAAAAACTGTGAGGGATGGACAGGAAAGCCCGGGGTGCATTGGGCACCACCCTCAGGCTATTGGGAAAGGCAGAGAAGAAAGTCGAATTGGCCCAGAGCAGAGAAGTCCATGCAGCGACGCTTCCTCTCTAGTCCCCTTGTCACCCCACTTCCCGTCCTACCACACAACTTGGCCTTTCCAACGGAGCCTTAGTTACCAGAAGCTGATTAGCTTGGCTGTTATTTCATGCTGTTGCACAGTGTCACCTGAGCCCAGAATGCCTTCCACTCTCCTTGTTCATTCCCCACACACATACCTAACTGTTGCCTGTTCTTTTAGTGTTTCTCAGATGCTTTCCTTTCTGCCAGAACCCCTGAGTGAGCTCCACAGCACTCATCAGTTTCCCTGTGATCTGAAAACATTTATTTCACAGTACCTTTAACACCATCATACTTCTTGGTATACAGACTGCTGAATGGTGAGCAGCTTGAAGTCCGTGGCTATGTCTTACTTATCTCAGTACACCTAAAAAAGGCAAATTCTTCTCTTGTCTTCCTTAGGCCCAGAAACTTTGTCTTATTCTTCTGCGTGACACTATCACTGCACCCTCCACACGGTGGCCTCACAATACATGTTTGTTGTTAAATGTATGAATCTAGTCATTCATACTCATACTTTAACATACCAACCCACAACACTGAATTCTGGGTTGATTCTTTTTAAATGCCCTGCAACAATGAAGCATATTTTAATTATTTGTCCAAAGAATCCAACTTTGTCAATAATTTTCAGTCCCCAAATCCCAAGTCCCATATGTCTCTCACAAGACAAAAGTACTTGCAAACCAATACAGCAAATGTCACCTTTGGAAAATTCCCCAAGCACTCATGCTGCAGAGATATATTCCTCTTCTTCCTGTTTCCCACACCTTCCAGGGCAGCAGGAAAGGTTCAGGGCACACATCTACTGCCAGACTGACACGACAAGCAATTGGAAGAAGACTTGCTTTAGTAGTTGTCATTTGCTCCTCACTGTGCCCCTCCTCATCCCTATTTTCTATACTTTCTGTGAACATTTTTCATGACTCTCATGTCAGCAGGCATGAAGAATGGTAAGAGAGAATCTCCGAATACAATTTTAACCTGAAGTTTCCATTTGCTCCATAATCAAAGTTTTTGCCAAGTAAGAGCTTTGTGTTGCAGGAACAAATGCCCTGAAGTCTTTCTCACCCTTTTTCAGAGATAAAGTGAAAAAGAAACCAGTGGTTTCAGTGAAGAGACAGAATGTCCCCACGCCTTTCCACTAGTCATTCCCTAGCCACCCTGGGACAGCCTCTCTTCCGTGGGGAGTGTGTGGACTGCAGACACATGCATCAGCTCCAGTTCTGCTGTGGCCTAATGCATGGCTCTCAGGAAGAGCAGAAGGGCCAAGTGTTGCTGGACCATTGGTGCTTGAGAGATGATGTTGAGCCAAAGTTAAGGGGAAAAGAAGTTTGCAGAAGAGCTTTTATTCATTTTAGACCATTGGTGGTCTTCAGCCAGCCTATTCAGCGGAGGTTTTATGCAAAATGGGAAAGATGTGCCACCTATGGGAGAATGTAGTTCCTCAGCCATGGGTGCTTCCCAACCTGAGCTGGAAAGCAGAGACCCCATTGCATAGCCCTGTCCCCCTGTGCCAGCTGTTCTTATGCCTTTACCACAGCAGCCTTAGAAACATCAGCTCATCTACGGTCACTGCCTCCCCTAAGCCCTTGAATCTACCAACTGCAGCAAATCCTGAGACTCAACATCCACCCACACAGTGCCCATCTTTGTTTCTTGGAAGGAAAACCATTATCTCTCTTGTGGGTACCCCCCTTATCCACTCCTTTGCTGCCCCAGGCACCTCAGCATTTCCTCACCTGTCTCTGTTTCTCTTTCCTCTCAGCCTGGCAGGAACCAGATGGACCCTGAGTTGCTCAGAAACAAGTGGCTGTGCCCCACACGTCGAGAAGTAAAAATGGTAGGTGAAGTGTGAGAGAAATGGGCTGCATACCCCAGGGCACAGCACTCCCCTTCCTCAGTGGAGTCCTGTGGCGAGAAACAGTGATGGGGTCCCCTGCAAGGAAGGCCCTGCGGCAAGCTGCCAATGAGGGACGGTAGGTCCTGCGAGCATCATCAACTCTGACACCATATGATAAACCTGCCCCATTTTCACAAGCCACCGGTGAGCCAAGGTGACAGGTCACAGGGAAAGAGATGAGACCAACCACTTTGTTTTGGGCTTCTAAGTAACTACACCCTTGTAAAGAGGTTCCAGAGGTTACGAGTCCTCTTCTACCATTACAGTGGGGGAGCGCTCTGCTTAATCTTTAGCTTCCTCACTAATTCGGTCAGCACCTCAGAAGAAAAGGTGGGAAGAGATTTATTTGATAGCAGTTCCTATCTAGGGAGGGTCTTGGCAGGCATGGCTATCTGGGGATGGTGGTGAGGAAGGGGTATTAAGAAGAGAAAGAAAGACATCCAGGGGGTGCGCAGGGAACAAACACAAGGCTCCGCCACTCTCAGAGTTCCTGAAGAAAGAGGCCTGCTTCAGGAGGGATGTTGTACCAGGTCAAAGTAACACTTTATTTAAGGCAAGGATTAGAGTTAGTATTAGGCTAGTTGTTCAGGTTAGGGTAAAGACAAAGCTGGGGTTAAGAATGATTTAGGTACACAGTTAAGTTTAGAGTAGGGGATGGGGAAGGATTTCTTCAACTCTGGTACATTGTGATTCTCCTTTGACCTGAGGAGGAAGCAGGGATAAATATGTGATGAGAGAATGGGAAAGAGGTAGAAATAAACAAGAAGTATGGAGAGATTCCTTTCCTGAGTTCATGGGAAAAGTGCTTTAGGCTAGTAGCATAGGGAAGAGAGCAGCAGTTTTGTGAAATTCTTGTGTGGGAATTAGAATTTTAACTGAAGCTACAAGGAAAGATTCACCTGAATGTTGTAATCTATGTTCACTTCATTAGGACCACAGGGTTTGATCTTAGCACTGACTGGAGTTTAGCCTGGGGTTCCTTCTGGTTTAATTCCTGGAATCTCTGTAGAATGTGCTGACTCCAGTGCTGAGATGGCTAGTCCAGTTGGCACACCTGGCACTTGAGCAGCTGTCCCTTTTTTTTCAGGACTACTTCTCTGACCTTTGCCCTTGCACCAGACCTGACAGGAGGGAACCCATACACTGAGGCTTTACCTTCTCTGTCGCTTCTAAAAAGAAAGTCTTCAAACACAAAAGTAGCCAGGAATCTTCCCTACTACTGTCAGAAGCTGGTGTGAAACTACAGTCAGTTAGAAAACAAGCAGGAAATACTCTCACCATATACAGAAGCACTTGACATCTTTGATGCCCTACTGGGGAGCTGCTACAGTCACTATGACACCTCTCATTTTTCAGCAGTGAATTGAGTGGGAGGATTTAAAAGAGTCCTGAGAATATAAAGGAACTTCTTCAATGTAATTAAAGGTATCTATGAAAATTCTATAGCTAACATCATACTTCATGGTGAAAGACTTGATAGTTTCTTCTAAGATAAAGAACAAGACAAAGATGTTTGTAATCACCATTTTTATTCAACATCGCACTGTATATTCCAGCTGGGGTATTTAAAACTTTAAAACAAGCAAAGAAATAAAATACATAAATATTAAAAAAGGAGAAGTAAATATCTCTGTCTCTCTCTCTCTCTCTGTCAGTGACATGATCTTATATATAGAACATCCTGGGGAATACACACACAAACACACAGAAACACACACACACACACACCAATAACAAAAGCCCAACAAAAGTCAGAGCTAATAAGTGAACATAGTAGAACTTCAGGACTCAAGGTCAATATACAAACATTATTTCTGTACACTAACAATGCCCACGACAAAAATAAAAAAATCAACAATCTAGTGCTAGAAACAAATTTGAAAAATGCTGATTCACACTGATTCTAGCTTATATGAAGGGCACCCTTGAAATTTTCAAGTGTGCTTTAAAGTGGCTCATTTATTCACAAATTTATTTTTAAATATCCTAAGTAAGAAGTTTGGGAGCTGCAAATACAAAAAGAGAGATGTAACCTCTGTCATTATGAAGCTGAAAGTTCGTCAGGAAGGCTAGACATTAAGCAAGTAAATACAATAAAATGTTTATGAGTCTCCAACAGAGGAGGCCTGAGGACAGAAGGCAGAGCACTGAATACCAAACAGTATTCCAAGACCCAGTCATCGCCATGAGAAAGTAATGGGTACCTCGAGACCTAAAGATTATGTGGGGATGATCTAAACAGGTTTTGAAGGCCTACTAATCTCAAGACATAATAAAAATATATATATATATATAATCAAAATATAATCACCAGAGAAGAAAAAAGATGCTATGACATGATGGCAGAGCGGTACCCTTTGGGTTTTTTTAATATCACATAAGGATGTATAGATGACTTTATTGTCAAACACAACTCAAGTTTGCTAAGGTGGTATATTATTATTTAAATCAGAATATTGTTATGGCCAATGTTCTAAATGAGACTTTCTTCCTTAGGTAAAACCAAGAACTATGACAATCCCAGATGGCCCGAAACTGTCCCTTAAGAATTTTATGAATCACAGGTAAGCCAAAGGGGCAGGACTCTAAGTGGCTATATCTGCTTGGGCACAGGGTCCTAGATTAGGAAGAGTAAGTAGAATGTTTAAGAATGGACTTCTTGATAGGTTTAATTTTCTCATTTGTTCAAAGAGTCAGACTAAATAAAATTGTTTCTCTTTTTCATTGAAACTACTGTAGAAAATAAAATCTTTCCACCTTTAAAAAACAGTATAAGGAATGATAACATTTTGAAATATGACTTTTTAAGCTAATGTTTATCAAACCCATATTGTGTACTGTAAGAAAAGATGATTCGATGGACATTTACTGCATTTCTTATAATATGTTCCACACTGCTAGTGAATTCATATTTTATCCTTACAAAACTTGTAAAGTAGGTGACATTATTCCTTTAATATGAATGAGGAAGATGGATATCAAAAGGTTAAATACTTTGCCTAAGTGCACACTAATTTAAGACATAAACTTAGGTGTTTTTTAATACATAGCTGGAGCTCTAACCACTCCCTACTCTGCTTCTGATGGTGAATACCCATTGTGTACAGTATTTAAGATATCATTTTAATTAATTACTTCATCCTTGTTAGGAGTTAAATTCAAAAGAACAATTCCCTCTTTGGAATTTTCTACCTTCTGAGGTGTAGAACTGGCTACAGACCAAACAAAGCCAAGTGTTATCTTTTGGGTTTTCCCAGGGTGGAAAATATTCCATATTTGCTGTAGGCAAAAGCCTCTTATCTATCTCCCTTCCTGTTAGATATTCAGTTTATTGCAATGGATCATGTCTCTAGAATGGGAGGGCAAGTAAAGGCCAGAGGTAGCCAGGTCCTGGCATTATTTTTGTCATCACGATAGATATGGCATGGAGATGCAGAGTAGAGAGTAGGAAGGCAGTTTGGACCCAAAAGCATAACAAAATCAGTGAGCAGGTCCTGTAGCAGTCAGTCCTGGAATTCTGGTCAGTACCTAGAGCCCAACAGCATGGAGTAATGTGTGTGTGGCAGGCAGCACAGCACTTGGAAGTATCAAGAGCAGGGATTCATCATATTAGACACCCAGTTACCTATGGCAGAGCCCAGTCACCAGAAAAAATTCTGTCTGCAGAAGGGAATCTGCTAGCAGAAAAACTGGGAAGCCTAAGATTACCAGGGGGCCATATCATGATCTATGGGCAAGGAGTGTACACTTAGAAATGACATTAAATACTGAAATAGTTTACATATACATATATTTTGAAATATTTTTGTTGTGCTCATAATATAAAATGATTAAAGTAAATCTAAGCAAACTTTTTAGCTATACATACGTATATACACATAGATTTTAAACATTGTACTTTGTAATATAAAATGCTGGAAGGAAATCTGAATAGTCTTTTCAGCTAGGGAGGAATGTATAGAAAATGAACTCTAACTAAAAACTATTGATTGCCTTTTGCCTATTAATGATTTTCAAGAGAATTATGAAATTTCTATGTTAAACAAGTGGGGCATTCAGTTTCAATATTGAGAAACTCTTGGATATAAGAAGAGAAATACGAATTCCTGGGGCAAACATAGCTGTCCCAAAGGACAATGAGTTAACCTAGAGTTTCTCTCCATGTGGTTTAATTCAAAAAACATTCACTGAAAATCTGTTAAGCAACACACATTGTATTGGGTGCTGTGGATACAACAAGGAATGTAACCATTCTCTGTCCTTGAGAAATCTGTGCTGTAATTGGACACTAGACGTAGGTTAATAAATAATCTCCATAAAATGTTAGAAGAGCTGTGTTAGATGTGGGCACAGAACATTAAGACAGTTAACTAGCTCAGGCCCAGGGTGGAGGAGAAGACAGAAGGTTTCCTAGGACGCCAGAAATGAATTATAAAGAATACTTGCATTGAATCTGATTTAAAAGGTCAGCCTATTTAGCTGACAAGCCATACTGGGTACAAGCCGAAGCTCTGCAGTCATGCTGGCTGATTTCCAGTTCAGATGATGTAAACATGGGCAAATAATGGGCCTCTCTAGACCTTAGTTCCTTTGTCTATAACATCAGGACAGCAATATAGTGCCTGCTTCATATGTTGCTGTGAGGATTAAATAATATAATTATGAAAAGAATCTGTGGTTAGTTTTCCATTGCTGTGGCAAATACCTGCGATAATCAAGGAGAGGAGAGGTTTGTTTTGGCTCATGATTTCAGAGGATTCACTCCATTTTTGGTTGGCTCTCTTGCTTTGGGCTTGTGGAGACATACAACATTGTGTTGGAGGAAAGCTCCTCACCTTGTGGCCAGAATGCAAAGAGAAAGGAAAGGACAGGGCCAGGGCCCAAGGATTCCCTCCGAGTATGCCGCAATGACCTAACTTCCTCCAAGTAGGCTCATTACCTAAAGGTTTTGCCACCTCCCAGTATCACCACGGGCTGGGAACCAAAGCCTTTAACACATGGGCTTTTATAAGACACTTAAGATCCCACTTACAGTAACACTTTAGTACACAACTCTCAATAAATTTAAATTATCAATTAATTTTAAATGCAGTACGACCTGACATCTGAAATTGTATGGGGGAGGCTGTTAGATTGCTTTCTATGCTTAGAAATCCCTGTCCCATGCTGATGTAAGATTTTTAATCTTATCATTTGTAGATTATTAGACAAGAATCAACAGGGTAACTTATTAAGAATTGACAAGAGGGCCAGGGATTTAGCTCAGTGGTTTCACCACCTGCTGCACAAGCGCAAGGACCCGAGTTTAATCCCTGGTACCAAAAAAAAGAATTGACAAGAATTTAAAAATGTGGCAGTATTGGTTTTTAAAAGAAGGTCATGGTTAACAAGATATTTCAGCCAGACTGAATGTTTGTCCTCTTCCTTTGCTCATTTATTCATTGTTTGGGTTTCTCAGATATTCAGATACTATGCTTTATAGTAGGCTTACAAGGAGGATTTATACATAATACTTTTCTGTAGGAATGCACAGTCTAATGGGAGAGACAGATAGTGGATTACACCATATGATAAGTGTGACAGCAGAGGTATGTGCAAAATGCTTTGGGGAACACTCCCAAGTAATGACTAACAATGGACCACACAACTGGCAAGGTTTCATGATGGAAGTAACCTTCTAGTGAGGCCTTGAACAAAACTTTCCCAAGCTAGCATCAGTGCAATGGAAGAATTCCGGAAGAGAAAATTGTTTGTGTAAGGACTCAAAACATTGATTGAAAGGATATATTCAGGCCAAAAGCCATAGAGACTAGCTTTGTTTCTGTGAGTTACTTTGTTTCTGTCTATGAAATGCATCTATTCCTGTTCCCTGAAACCTCTCTGCTCACTACATGCTGGCTCTTTTCCCAGACTTCAGCACACCCACAGCAGAGGCTGCAGGGACTGGGGAGGAATGAAGTGAGGCCTGATCTCTAGCTTAGGGTGCTCCTCCAAGTTCCTTCCCTCTGCCTATTCCAGTCCTCCTCACACATCAGCTCCCCTACTTCCTGCTCCATTTGGCTTCACTTCCAACTTGGCTCCCACTTTGAAGATTTCTGGAACTTCCCGCTGTTCAGTTTGGACTTGCTAACAGGACCTCCTTAGCATTGCAAACTCAGGTCTCAAGCGCCAGCCAATCACATTCATAGCCTGGGCTTTTCCCTCAAGACCTGCCACCTCAGTCCATACTCATATGTCAAGCTCCTTCTGAGTCAGGTCTCCCTATAGGCACTAGAAGACTTTGTGAAGGAGACCAAAATCCCTGCCTTAAGTGGGATTTATATGTAGTGTGGGAGACAAACAAAAAACAAATGGTGGATAAACTCCCCCACACAAATTGCTCTCCCTTCCAGGGAAAGAACAAGGAACCACACACACTGAACCTTTGTTGTGTTCCACAAACTCTTACAGCCAGTCTCCTAGCAGTGTCTTGGTCTTTAATGTGCTACCACAAAGTACATGATGTCACTAGTGTCATATAACTTCTCCATTGAGATTCTAAATTTCCCTATAACCAGCAATAGTTGGCATGCCTATCAGTCAAGATCAGATTCTTATTGTTTTCTGGTTGACTATAGATTATGAATTAGCCTTTTTGTTTTCTTCCATATCCTTTTTCAGTAGCTTTTCTTTTCTGCTGTAACACTCGCATTTCACATAGTCACTTTGCATTCTATCTCCAAAGCGCTATGCTTTCCAATTAATTACTATGTATTGCCCAATGTAACATGCCATCAATTAAAATATGGACCATTATTTCATGTACTGATAAAGAAAACAATGCCAAGATGAGGAATTTAATAGGACATCCTTATATAAAGTTAAAGCACCAAAGAAATAAACTCACTATGCAGAGAGGGATGGGAAAAATTCATCTTGGCATGTCTCTGTGTTGACCCTAAAGGAGAGAGATGGGAGGAGCATCTCGCCTTAGAATTTAAACTACAAGCTGACATTTACGAGCTGGGGATGTAGCTTGGTGGTAGAGCACTTCACTAGAATATGCACCATCACTGAATAAAGAAAACAAACAAGTTGGCACTCATATGAATGGTGTAAGTTCATGCTTTAGTGTAGCCCAGATATCTTCAATCTGAGAATTTAATATGAGAAGTAGTCTCAGGGTGACTTGCAGAAGGAAAAACTAATACAGCCAAAAGACACCAGCCACATGGTAGACTTGGTTGTGGAGCAATTTGGACTAGAATTACTTTTCCATGTGTTTAAATTATAGGGATAATACCTTGTCAGTTGTGACCACTCCAAAGCTTTTGATGAAGAAATTGAGGCTTTTACTATAACAAATTAATGACAACACAAGTGTGCTCATTTAGTGCACCCAAAAGCTATTTCTTTTTTCCTGAAAGATCAGAAATTCTCTGTCTAGCATCTTAGGTTTATTCTTCTTAGATGGTAGCTTTCATTAAGTACCATGAAGGCATCCATAGATAGGGGTATAAGCTGCTACAGCCATCAGCCTTTCAAGTATTGACACAGTCTCCACTACTAAAATTACTGGTAAATG